AAAAAAAAAAAAAAAAAAAAAAGGGAACGAAGGAGAAGAAAGGAAAAACAAACACAGATTCTGGAAAACATGCAAAGAGGCTCTCTCAGGAGACCCTGGACAGCGGAATGGCGATGGTGGTAGGGCTATACCGGAATAAGCACACTCACATACATGGTATTTTGATGCAAGTTAAACCAATGAATTCAAGGCAGATTTCTCAACATCAAAGCTCTCCTTGCAGAACCCGGGTTGGACGGAACCCTCTCTCAAAACCCCGACTGGCCTTGGAGGGTTGAATGAAGTCATTTTGCTCTAAGTTTAAACCCGCCTCCTGTCTCTCCCTTCCCCACCTGAGCGTTAGTGGATCCACTTCCCCCCTTGCTGGGAGGGGAGGTCTGCAGAAGGTCTGCAAATGCTGAAGATAGGACTGTCGCGTGGCTTTCTCTTCCGTATTCAAAGATGTTTAATAGTGGCCTTAGACAGTCAACCCATCGAACCGGAGAATTGGCATTTAAAGAGGAAAAACAGAAAACTTGTGAACAGCACATCCACACCCACAGCTGAGGTCTCCGGCCCCAGTCACTTACACTTGGGTGAGTCGTCTGCAGTTGTCTCTCTGAGGTCACATTTGGTCCATTCTCCAGCTCTGAAGGTTCTTTTCCTGCCTTGTTAGGTTAGGATATTTCCATTTAAAATACCAAGTAAGTCAGGAGAGAGCTTCTTGCCTGGACACAGGGACACATGAACACTTGTGGAGTGTGCAGTGTGTGTGTGCGCGCGCAGTTTGAGGGGAGAGGGGGTTGGTTGGTTTCTGGTTTGAGACAATATGGAACCCTAACTCTTCTATAATGGCAGTCTTCTCCTTTAGACTTAGTGCAGCTGCTGGAGACAAGATTAAAAAAAGCTAGAGAGGGAGAGAGAAAAGAGAAAGAAAACACGAAATTAGCCGAAGAAAAAGGACATCCAAAGTAAGACAAGGCAAGGGGAGTGGGCAGTGCGAGGTAGCAGAGATTATACTTGGAGAAGACAGGTTAGAGATGGGGACACTGATAGACGGCAAACACTGGGAAATCTGCCGAGAAGGTTTTTAAGAACACCACACACCAGTTTAAAGCTTCTTGTTTTAATTAAAAACAGCCACATGTGAATGCCAAATGATTAAAACCAAAACCAAAACCAAAAGTGATCTGCACGTCACGTAGGAAAAGCAAACTTCTCGGCTTAAGAGAAATGAGGGTGTGTGTGTGTGTGTGTGTGTGTGTGTGTGCACGTGTGTTTGTGTGTGTGTTTGATCGTGATCGTGATCACGTGGGGATTTTCCAGGAAAGCTCGGACCGTTCCTAATGACTGGTTTTGTTTCACCTGAAGTTAACAGAGTATTTTAGGGTACTTAAGAAAACAATAACCATTGTACTAATTTAATAGCCTTTTCACTGCAGAAGGAAAAAAGAAACCCCTTTCTGTCTGCAGTGAGAAAAGCTACCCAATAAAATAACTATTTTAACCCTTTTAATCGGCTTTCTAAAGGCCTCATGTTCACTCCCAGGTTAGATTTGTTTACCAAACTTCCTTGATTACGAGGATCATCTAGGGCACCTGGTAAACATCCGCAGGCCTGGGCCCCACTCCAGACTTCCAGGAAAGCCGACCAGCCAACAGGCACCGTCAGCAGAAACACTCAGTTCAGGAGCTGGCCTGGTCCACTGCTTTGCCCGCCCCTACCCACTCCATCCTCAGATATTTTTCTCTGGGGGGGAAAAAACCCTTCAAAGGCCCTGTAATGCTAACTATTCATTTTCTCCGAACATCAAAAGACCTGGGTCTCCAGGAACCTATAGGAACAGGTTGAATCCAGTTGTGAAACGGATCGGGAGTCAGGACACACTGAATGTCGCCTGGCTTCTGCTGTGAAACAGAACTGGGACATCTGGCAAGTCCCTGGACCTCTCTGGGCCTCAATTGCCCTTACCCGGGAGGGGCGGGCGAAGCGGGTCATTATCTGTTTAATGGACCGAAATTTCTCCCTCGAGGCGAAATTTCTGCCTAGTCCATGAAGTCCTCCCAAAGGCTGGGTGGGCTACTACTTTTGAAGTTTTCAGAACTCCTCAGGTCTCAAGTAGTTAATCCGTAAACAAATGTAAATGAGGGGGCCTCCGACTTGTAATGCAAATAATAACCCAGAATAATGGGGGTCCACTGGTTGTTTAAGTCTGAGGTTCTCGGGGAAATAGCCGTAAAACCGGACACGGAGACATCAAAGCTGCAAATAAGATGCCTTTCCCATGGAGACTTGACAGCTTTAACGTAGCATCTCTCTGAGCTACTGGCTGAGTATCCACGTTTTTGTGTGTTTTATACTGTTTTGAACCTCCAAGCACGGGGTCTCTAAACATGCTCCACGACGAGACTTTCTAAAGGCCCTTTCTAGTTTCTCAAGAAACTAGCTTATATTTCATACTCGCCTCTGGTCACTAACCAATCAGTGACTCACCAAACAATACACAGCAAAACTGCGCGCTTGTTCTGCCAGCAAGAAAATGTCAAGTGTGTGTGTGTGTGTTTTTGTTTTTTCTACTTTTCGCTTCCTACCATGGAAGAGAGGAAACCCCCTCCCCATTCTCAACACTGCAAAAAGCCCGGAAAATTTGGCATAGCCTGGTTTAACTGTGTGTTTTTGAAGAAGAAGGGAAAAAAAGGCGATAAGGAAAAAAAAAAAA